TGAACATTTGCACAATATTCTAATTTTTCAAGTTTCACCTGTAACTCTGCTACATTTGATCAGAAGACAGCCTCCTGGCCATCCAATGGTCCACCATGTCTTCTTCTGCAGCCTTTGTCTCCTGGCCATCCAATGGTCCATCAAGTCTTTTTCTGCAACCTTTCTTACTGTTCTCTCATTGCCTGTGTTTTGTAAAATCATAACCTAGTTGCAGTTTTCTACATCATGGGATGACAATCCAAAGATTGCACAATCCTCACCATCCTACTTGTAGCTCCAAGAACTACTCCACCAGTAAGGAGATGGGCAAACATTTTGAACCTTTTTCTCATGCTATGGGCTTGGGGAGTTAAATTTCATTTAAAACCAGCAAGAAGTTGTGGACTGTTCACAGCCCCTAGGTCAAAAAAGATCACTGTTTCCTGTTCTACATTCATTAAACATTAAATATCAGAACTGGAAGTTCATTGAGGGCAATGGCCCACCTTTAATTCACTTACTCAGATGTGTTGCACAGAGAGTTATGAGAAGAACAGGTTTCTTATACAACCCACATACCACCCTGCTCAGGTAGGCTGCATTTTTCCTGTTCTGCTCTTCAGTCTGGGGAAACTGAGGCAGGTGAGAACTTCCCACTTAAAAACATCCCCTGCAGCAGTAAAATATTCCAGTGTTGGCTATGCACAGGTGCATTGCCTATATGTATGAATGCACTAATGACCACTGTTAGAGGTAAGCCTGTCTTTGTATCCTGTCTGACTTTATGCTGGTGTGTTAGAGTATTAAAAAAACCTACTTTATCCCTTTCTAGGGGAACTGATGATGAGCCTCCTGTGGTATTACAGACCAGAGCACACTCAGGGAGGCCGTAATTCTAGCATGCATCAGGTGAGTGTTTGGCCACAATGACCGGGAATGGAAGTCCAGAACATTAAAAAAAAGGTCAGCAAAGGTTGCTTGATGTTATAGTTCTGATGTTTCTAATACTTCTGCAACCATTTACTTGCAAAGAAAAGGAAGAACATTTGATGTTCTGCTTTGGACAAGTGCTTCAGCAGTTGGGCCACTTCTTTTTAGACATAGGAAAATTTGTGCTGTTTCATAAGCTGGAAAAAGTGGCAAAGAATACATTAAAGACTAGCACATTTATTGCTTTGGGTGTTTCTTCTGTACCAAACTAACATGGCTGCCCCCTGGAATAAGTTGGGAAGTAATTAGAGTGGCAGGGCATTAAAAGACTTTCCATTACCTCACTCCAAACATTCATAATTTTATAAACAGTCCTTAATTACTCTGAAAGTGTACTTTTATCTTTGTGAATTTGTTAGAGAATGGTTCTTGCTCATATCTTAAAGTTGGCTTTCCTTCGCTTTAAGACACCAAAAGCTATGGAAATCATTTGCCTCTAAGACTGGAGGGTTATCTTTAAAGGTTGGATTTTTTCCCTATTAAGACCTACAGTATATTGTTACAATGCTACCTTTCCAGATTATTGTTTTTATTGCACAATAAACGCAGAGGTTCTCTTCCATTATGGTAGATCTAAATGTCTTTTCCTTCATTTAAGACTACAGTTGTAGGAAAATTGCTTTTTTCAGTAGCAACAAAAACAACTCTCTCGCCTTTCCCCTCTCCTCAACTAGCAATTCCTATGATTAAATTAATTCCAACTACAATGTCCACCTGACAGGATGATCCAATCACCTTTGATGGCTTCAGATCTAAAATTTCTAGACTAACACAGGGAAAATATGAGCGCCATTGCCTTTAGTTTAAAACTGAGGGGTGGGAGCTTTGAGGAGAAGGCAGTAATTGATTTGACGTGTTGTCAGGTTGATCCCAGAAATTGAAATATAAGAGTTACTTGAAAACAAAGTCTTCTTTTGGCCAAATTATGTAAGTGAATGAGTAGGCAGTTGAAGGCTGTGAAATGTCTATGCATATTTCTGAACTGGCAGACTTCCATTTTAGCTAGATACATTTACATATAAAATATAAACACTAATATGTAATCTATTTCGATTAAATTTCCTTCCCTGGCTCCCCTAAAGAACTGCTGTCCAAAAACACACAAAAATGAAAAAACTGATTAACTGTTACATAATGTAATGTATTAATATGTTGTTGTAAACTATCTCATAAATTAATGAGAATAAGTACTGGTATCCACCTCCTTTTCCCTACATCAAGGAACTAAGATGAGGTGGAAATTATTAGTCATTAAATGTATACACTTAAACTTAAAAAGGCCCAGTGTGGTGTAAAGTGATGGGATAGGACCAGGGAAATCCATGTTCAAATCCATCTTGAATATGGAAGTTCACTGGGTGACTTTGGGCTAATCATTATTTTTCAGACCAACTTACCTCAGGGTAGTTGTTGTGAGAAAAAATTGGAGGAAGGAATGCTATAAACACCACCTTGAGCTCTTGAAGCAAAAGCAGGATATACATTCACTAAATCAGTGTTTCTCAACCTCGGCCACTTTTAGCTGTATGGACTTCAACTCCCAGAATTCCCCAGCCAACACATTTGCTGGAGAATTCTGGGAATTGAAGTCTACACAGCTAAAAGCAGCCAAGGTTGAGAAACACTGCACTAAACAAACAAATATACTCACGAATGCTACATTATAAGATAGAATCATAGAGTTGGAAGGGACCATGGAAGTCATCTAATTCAACCCTCTAGTGCAGTATCTCATTTCTTTAAAAAACAGGCTAATATTGATATGTTAAGCCTTCAGTAGCCTTGACATACCTGTTTTGCCTTTAAAAAAAAATTCACCCCCTTAAACACATCAATCAAAAAAATTAGATCGCACACTACCAGCCTAACCCCTGGGGCCCTCAGATATTAAATATATTCTTTTATCAAAATGTGCACCTCAGCAATAAAAAGTTTGCCTCACCTGGTATATGTGATCAGAAGATTAAGCACCAGAACCTGAATGAAGAACCCACACTCTGAATGCTTTATATATAACTTGAAAATGTAATAGTTAATGGTTAAATCACTCCATGCTGGTCTCTAAAATGTTGACTCATCTATACAGCAATTGACCTGCTTCTTGGCAGAACTGTGCTTAAAAGTGTGACCTGAAGAGCATGTAGAAATAAAGATCTGTATCTTAACACACCCACAGACAAAAACATGCCTTGGAAAACTGTTCTGATCCCCTTGTACACCTTCTTGCAGAATGAGATCTTTGCATCCCGACACCAGGACGAGAACAGCGTGGCCTGTATTGAGGAGAAGTGCTATGTTCTGACCTTTGCAGAGTACTGCAGGTAGGTGGCGCTCTTACCGTGCTTGTGTTATGGTCTTGGTGCTCCATCAAAAGAGTTCCATAAGATGTCTTGTTTGTTACTGGAAGAGTGTTCTCTCTAGGTACAGTGGGGCAAAAAAGTATTTAGTCAGCCACCAATTGTGCAAGTTCTCCCACTT